CTGTTGTTTCTAATTTTCCATGAACTGGAGAACCAATTGAATGAGTTCCCATTGAAGTCTGTGGGAAAAACCAGGTTCAACATGCAGACTTTCAGACATAGGGACACTGTTGAAGCACCAATTATGTACACATCTCTGGGTCTCACTGTAGTTTTTCAAATTCTGTACCTGTGAGACCAGTGAAGGAACCATCTGGACGCTCACTCCCCCAAGCACCATCTGGTGGCAGATGAGTCAGATATCTTCACAAGGAAGAGATAAAAACACATTCCACATTTTATTCCATGAAAAATGCACCTCTTGTGACCATTTTTTTTATGACTTACGTGAAATTGAGCTGTTTGCCAATGGAGTTCAAGAGTCTGACATCAATGCCATCAGTGACCCTTGGTTGTGCAGGGTCAGTGAGGTAGTCTATGCCAACCCAAGGAAAGTCATCATTGGCTGCTGACACAATGCGAGCCCCCTTGAGATTCCTGAAAACTACATCAGGTGGAGGAAACAACTGGTTGTGCCATGTTATCTCATCAGCAGCAGTCCCTTCAGAAGGATCCATCTGAATAAATTCCAGTTTGGCCTGTGGGAAACGTTCTCTGAATGCATATGAGTGAAATGAATGAGGGACAGAGTCCATCTTGTGTCAAGCTGGGTGACTGCCTTGAAGTACTTTGACAGTGTGTGTGGTGAGGTGTAAACCAGCCACTTGTTCTCCCACTGGTTGATGTTTCTTGTCTGGATGTTTGACAAAATGTCCAGTGATGGTGTGGATATGTTTTTATTTCCCCTGTGTCATCACACATTAATCCAAAAAAATCAATCCAATCACAACAACAATGTTGATGGAATACAGGGAAAAACTGATTACATTTATTTAAATGCTGGACCATACACCTCTGGAAGACCAAAAAAGGCAACTTATGCCATCTTTTTCAAGCTATTACAAGAAACAAAGTGCTGTAATGTGTCTACTCATCAAAAGAGATGATAGGGTTAATTGCATTAGTTTTCAGCTTTTGGATTTCCTGATGGTTGATCTTTTCCTGGCATATTTATGTTTATATCTTTTCTAAACCAGTCAAGTGTATGAAACATTCTATGTATATACCATGGTTCACATTGTAATGCCTAATTCTGCTGAATTTATATTTATGAATGACACACCTCAAAGTATTGCAATTTTTCAAGCTATCCAAGAAACCACACTTCACAAAATGAAGAATACAGGGGCCCCCCGACTAACAGACCTCCCGTGTAAGGGATTTTTGCCAAACAGACCAGCTCTGCAAGCAGTTTTTCCTCCTGCCCAACAGACAAAATCCGCCAAACAGACTTCTTTTGGTTTAAAATTAGTGTTGAAAATTGAAATTTTTAATTTTTTNAATTTTTAATTTTTTATGTAATTGAATTTGTGTAAAGGACTTTTTGTCTATCAGACTTTGCCCTTGCACGAATCAAGTCCATTAGACGGGGGTTGACTGTATCTCCAGTTTAAGGGGTATGCTCTATTATTAGTAGTTTTTATCCTGTAAAAATTCAATTTTAAGATTACTGTACCTTATATCATTAACTGGGTTCCACAAATGAAGGACTTTTGAAGAAGGTTGGTTTTAAATAAAAACATTAGTAATCTTGATTTTGTCCTTTTATTTATTCTACAGCAATGGTTGAAAGGAATCTGAGGGTGTCTTATGTGACTATAAAAATATTTTCAAGGAACTTCAAAAAACTTGAACCATATTCTTGATAAATCCAATTGTGAAATAATGAGAACTTGCCCAATTTCAGTAGCAGCAGAATCATCATCACACCACATGAAAAACTTTGTTTCTCCTCTCCTTCTTCTTGAGGCCACCAAATTCATGATGGTACTGATGTCAGCACAAGACAAAATCACATTAGATGCTACTGGGAAATCATCACAATGTGCACTTGTGCACTGATTCCATTGATGAGTGATTATCCCAGCTTGGTCCACTGTGCTGCCAACAATCAAGACATCAGGGTCAAAGAGCTTGACCACCATTTGCGAGACTTGAGAGTACAGAGAGTTCTTGACTGCATCAATAATGATGGATTTCATCCCAAGCTTTTCTGGGGACTCAGCATCACTGCCATAAAAGGAAGCACATATGATGAAGAGAAGACATTTTTGCTTGCCAGTAAGTGGAAACATTGTTGGTCTATTTGAAAAGCTGTCCAACAAGGCTCTGAAGAAATGCTCCCTGTTTACTGCTACTGTTGTTACAAGACACTTGTACATGGACTATACAGCGACCTTGAGGTCATAGAAACAGTGTCATCAACCTGCAATTTTGATAAGTGACCTGACACCTGATGCCAGAATGAAATGTCTCGGACTGCATCAATGGAATTGTTTTTTTCTCTCCTGTAATCCTGAATGGTGCTACCACAGCTGTGCAGCAGACTGTAAACATCATCATCAGTGTCATTAAGAGCCGCAGAACATGCAATTTTAAAAAGCGTATCCGGTACTGAAATCTGTCAGAAAAACAAGCACAGGATCAATTCGATGGTCCGAGAAGCTCATGCAATGCTGAAGAACGTGACATTTTCCTCATCTAACCTGGATTGAAAGAGGAAACCTATGTTTTGATGGTATTTTAGCGTCGCCTGGATCATTCGGCAAATATGAAGCATTTTGTGGTTCATTCATGTAAAGCTAGGTGTCGCTAGCCTCTTTCCGTAAGTCGCCCGAATCTGGAATTTTCTCAATCAAATTCGGAAAGAATTCAAGTATTTTGTATCGTAAAGCAAGCATTTTATTGCCACCATCTGCAAAACGTAAAACACGTGTTTTCACGCAAAAGCCAACCGAGTATAATTCGTATCACGTATTTCGGACGCATGAAAATGGACGAATACACAGAGCTCAGCGCACGGCAACTATATTTCAGGAGCAAATATACCGCGGGTTTTTCTTTGCAAATAAAGCGTGTATCAGAAGCCTCTTCAAAGCAATATTTTGAGCATTTGACAAAATTGCATGAAAGGCATTCACTTGAGATCAGCAAAAGATTTCTGTCGAGAGACGAATGATACCGAATTTCGGAATTTTAGCGACACCTAGAATGCTCAGACTAAACCTAAACTGCGAAAATTATTTCCTTCACACAGTGATGCTGCATCTCCTGTTCATTATACATCAGTACGCATTGTACAGTACTTGCCTTGGAGAAGCAGACGCTGTTGAGAATCTTAGTCCTGCCTACATGATTCTGTGATGGGAACTGTGAAATGAGCATTATTATTAATAAAACAAAAAGCCTACCAAGCAAAATTTGGATTTTGGACTCCAAACCGCGATTTTACACATGGAGAATTTCATGAATGAATACCGGAGCTGTATAAGCATGAGTCGACTGGAGCTCTGAAGAAAGTAAAGTCAACTCCTGGACGAATACTTGACTGAAAAGAGAGAAATTTCAGGCGGAAACCGGTAATTGTTGTTCTTGACCCTGCTGATGATCATCCGGCTCTGTGTCCACTGCGTTCGTCATGCTAGCAGACATGGCGAGCTCTTGTCTCCGCTGCTGGACCTCCTCAACCTTCGAGAGTCTCGCACCGATGCTCGCACGTTTCTCAAGAAGAAATGCGTTTCGGCGCTCACCGGCTTCGTCCAACTTGCGACGGATATCTTCTACTGAACTCACGGGATCTTGTTGCTGCAGTTGCTCAGGGTGGCTCTCGTGAAAGGAACCTGGCCTCGAGGTCTTTGGCTCATCAAGAACTATGTCAATTCGCACTCCGGAGCCCAGTTCTGTGGTTGTCACTCGCGTCGCGTCTTCCATGTTTCGTTGTTCTGAGAAAAATATTGAAGCACTGACAGATTTCCCTGTGGTTAAATAAACGAAGTTTGAGTGGATTGGGACAATGAGTGGCACCATTTTTAAAATGAAGTATGTGCACGGTGTCGCGGGTCGACTAGATGTCGCCCGCAGCGCAGGAACAGGAGAGGCACAGAAAGTACGACGCAGCGTAGGAAACGCCACGTCGTACATAAAAACAAATATCTCGAAAATTCCAAACAATTCAAACATATATATATATATATATATATATATATATATATATACTGTACACACTCCCCCTACCAGTGGAAATTAGATCTGTATGTATACGGCATGGATCGAATTGCCTTTGTCCGCGATGCTGAACTTCGACGAGGGGAGAGATGATGATCTTGCACTGCGATCTGGATGGATTGGATATATAGATCCCGGTACGTTTCATATCCTTTGTTACATTTTATGATAACTGATGTGTTTGTTGATGTTAGGCTGTATAATACACGTCAATGAAGCTCCGCGGGGTATTTCGGGCTGATTTTTCAAAAACTGCGATCATATTTCGTGTTTTACATGTACTTTACTGTACTACGCTAGAATTTTGTAGAACGCTCTATAATGTGGTGAACTGTTCCATATCGCGTGCATTCGGATTTCGGAGTGAAAATTATTCGCGTGTAATTAGATTGTTACGAATTTAATCGCGTCTCAGCTGCGGTTTCTCGAAAACTGAAGGACGTGGTACACAGTTTAATTTTCAAATGTGTAATGTGTTTGATACAATATGACTCATGCGTGAACTATACTGTGTGTAATGAAACCAGCATCGGGATTTTACTACCATGTGAGCATCAGAATCAAGTTTTATCCAGTACCTATGATAGACGAATTCGCAGCTTTCCTTTCAAAAATGTGTACGTGTGATCATTAATACGAGCATTCGTGATCATTTGAAATACAAAGCATGACCAAATTCCAGTTTGGTGGCTTTTCTCTCGACGAGTACATTCCAGCAATCGGCCTCGGCGAGAAGAAGTAAATCATAATGAAGACTTTCAGGGATCACATCGGATGAGTTAACCTTTCAGTATATCATCTTAATTATGTCATGGTGACTTCTGTATGCGTGGTTCAAGGTTGAAACGGATGTATGTGATAGGCTTGATTTGGTTGATGAAATGGCCGACATCTCGATGATATCCTCAACCGTTCTGCATTTACCGAAAGGAAAACGAGAAAAAAAACATGATCGCGCACACGACGACGACGAGATCATTTGCGACGCTCAAAGTTTAAAAGTCAGTGATGATACGGGCATCCGATTCATTCAATTGAAATGCTCCGAACGTCGTCATTCTCGTCGTCTCCGGTCACTTTTTTTCATTACATCCATCACGTCATTAGTCGATAGTGTCGTTATCCGCGATTCACCGTCACGGTCAACACGTATTCCGTAATCATGCTTGTCTGAATCGCTTATTTGGCTCATTGACGACGATGGTGAAGAGAGGATGAAAGCTGGCTCTTGGACTTCGATGACGATCGGTGCCGTTGATGACGTTGAGGATGATCGGATGAGTGCTAAAGAAGGATGATGAGCATCTGCATCTGTTATTCTCGCTCTAGAGGAATTATCGTCAGGCTCGTCTGTGCTTGATTGGTGCCCTTCTTGCTCTTGTATGCGCTGGTCTTCTTTTTCTTGTTCTCCTTGGTCTTTTCCCAGTCTCTCTTCCTCCTCTTCTTCTCCTTCTTCCTCTTCCACAACACTCGGCATGAATAAGTGGGGGTCATTGCGAATTTCAGGAGAGGCACTCTGACTCTGGCTGTTGTGCAGTGGCATGCTGGGCAAGGAGCCTGCTCTCGATTGCTGCATATTTAATACAGAGACAATTTTGTTTCAACAAAGGGATAAGAACTATCCTGTATATAGGAAACAACATATTTATTTAGGAGACAAGATCTGGTGACAACGATACAGTATATAGTACAGTATACAGTATAGTTAACCCCTGTACAACAGACTATAGTCTGTTGTGTGAAAAGTCTGTCATGAAAATTCATTTATTTAAAAAATTACAATATTTAATTTTTACTCTTAATGTCAAACCAACAGAAGTCTGTTATGCAGATTTAGTCCACTGTGCAGGAAGGAAAACTGTCTCTAGAGGTGGTCTGTTGTGCAAAAATCCATTGTGCGGGGGTTGACCGTAGTCTGCAGTTCAAAGTAAAACTTGACACAAGCATGAAATTTCTGATTAGTCCTTGGAAATATACCCTTCCTATACATATATAGATGATATTCAAAAGATAAGGGATGAAGAGAAGTATAGCCATCACAAAACACACAGATGAGCAACAGTATATATATCTATGAACAGTAATTACCAGATAGTCAAGCAGATGATGTTGCTTTCTTGAGTGAGACTTGAGTTGTTGGTGGTTGTTATTGTGTTGGTAACTACTACTGCTGCTGCTGATGTACATTGGTGGTGGTGGCTCAGGCATAGCCAGCACCTCCTCAGGCACCACATCATACAACTCTGACATTTCCTTCTGGAACCGCTTGTGTTCTCTCAACTGCTCTTCCCAGACTGCAGATGCATCCAGAGAGTCTGCTAATGATGCAGGTGCAGACTTGAGTTGGGCACCAATATGGCGCCCACTGCGAATGCCCACAGTGGACATGCTTCTTGAGTAGCTGGAAATAAAAAAAAAGAAAGAGAGGAATTGCTCACTTATTCCTCCTTTTTGAATTGAAAAATTTGAAGAGTTAATTGGACTTTCATTTGTAAAATTTTAATTCAAACTTTTGACTGAGTCAAAATTCATTTTGGTCCCTATATACAGATTCTCTTGACCTTTCTGCTGAGTTGATAACTGGAAATACTCCCCAAATGAGTCAAATATTATTATTTTTTATATATATTTATTGTGATGATTCCTACAAGTTTGACTTGATATAGGAATGATCTGCAAAAAAAGAAAGAAATGCGACTCAGACCCAGAAGCAGCAGAGGCGCCCTTGGACCTGCTGCCGCCACTTTCCCCCCTATTCAAGGCCACCACTTTGAGCACAGTTTCGGGTTGCACAAAATACGTGGGCATTTTCTCAGCTTTGCCCTTGATGACTGTGAGGCCCCGGAAGTCGGCGGAAATGCCGGCCAGGCGCAGGGAATTCAACATCCGCTCGGACACGTGGATCTTGTCCAGCTGGCCCGTGTAGTCCAGCCGGGACGCCATGTTCACTGTGTCCCCCCAGATGTCGTACATGGGCTTCTTGGATCCTATGACTCCAGCTATGAGGGGTCCAACATCAATTCCTGCATATACAGTATAATGAATAATCGAAATGCAGTGAAATCTGGTTACAGCAAAGCAAATGTATTATTGGGACACCATCATGAGTAAAAATAGTTTTGTTGTGACAATTAATAACGCTTTATTATATTTTATGGATCAACTCATTCAACATATTTGCCATCAGACAGAGACTTCTTTATAAGCAAAAAATACTTCTTATGAGCAGAGATCTATTACAAAAATGTCTTGCAATGAGAATGTATTCATGAATACTGCATGAATACTGTATAACATTTACTGGAACTTTTGCTGAAACCCCATTATGTCAAGGTTATGGCGCATATTCCTGCCCTTATTCCCTTTAAAGCAGTTTAGACTAGATTCTAAATCTCCTCAAAAATCTTCCACCCCCCAGAGAAAGTTTACTGGGAAATTACTGAAATTTTTGGGCCATTATTTGAGGAGCAAATTAAATAGAAGAGCAATAAAAATTTAACTTGTTTGTCAGAAAAAATGGTTTGAGGTCAATTGAGCAAATGCACCCCAGCCTTGTTGTTAAGCATCCTGTCAACTCATTCAGCAGCAACATGACTCCAAAATGATCCCAAATATCATATTTATTGAATTTTTTGAGCACAATTCAATAGATTTTTTCCTGACTTGGGAACTCTTTGAGCTGATTCACATTGGTATATATGACTTAGGTTGGTTATTAGGATATACAGTCAACCCCCGTCTAACGGACTTGATTTGTGCAAGGGACAAGTCTGTTGGACAAAAAGTCCTTTACACAAATTCAATTACATAAAAAATTAAAAATTTCAATTTTCAACACAAATTTTAAAC